TACTGCTACTGCTACTGTACTACTACGACGACTACTACTTCTTCTACTTCTACTACTAGTAAAGCAGTACAAACAGCACAAGTAGTACTTGTAGAACTCATAGTCGTAGTCGTTGTGGTAGCAGTAGTCGTCGTAGTAGTTAGCAGTAGCAGTAGCAGCAGGAGGTGCAGCAGCAGCAACAGTCGCAGCTGCAGCAGGACGCAGCCAAACTCGTTTCACACCTGGTCTGGGCAAACTTGTGTATAGGCAAAAAGACCCTGGAACCAGCCAATGCGGAAGTGGATACTGCTGTGGATACGTACTGACCCTTTATGAAAATATGATGTCAAAACCCTGGCCAAGTAAGCAAACTTGTTTCCCAGCCCGGCTGCCGGCGGGCACCGTTGCGGCGCGCACGGGCAGTAGCCTCGAGCTCCAATATCTTGTCCTCAGGCTAGTACCACACTTGGGGGGAAGGCAGAGCAACTGCCGTCCATTAATAAATCTATCACAAATCGAGTTCGGGTCTCAGGAAACTGGAGCTGTGCTTCCTGTTGGATCATGAATCCGGAGTCCATGGGAGAGGGCTTGGCTGTGGCTTTGAGGGAAAGGCCGTAATGCTTCGGGTCGACACCTCTTTCCCTGGTGGCGAAATAACTCTGCAGTTCGTGGGCCGTTGCCAGACAGGCAGCCAGAGATGCCTGAGGTTATGAAGGGTGAGTCTTGTGCGAGGACGACGACGGGTATGTTGCCAAATATCGCGGTCACACTTTACGGATCGAGCATAGTTGATTTGTGACTTCATATACCAATCACCCTCTAGCTTCGAGTGTTGCGTGATTTGCGCAGGGACATTCGGGCCAGCCCGACCTCAAGCTCAGACATGTTGCAATGTGAACACCCCGCCCAAGGCATAAGCACAGTAAAGCAAGTCGTCTCACTCCAAAGCACGGCATCGAACTGCAGGCTTCTCACAGTCCTCGCCATCCTGCTTCCCACGGCTCTGGCGATTGCCCAACATCCTGTTCTAGCTGATGGTCTCTGCCACGATGCCACAAACTGACGCCCTCAAATCCGAAAGCACCTATTTGGACAAGAGACATATACGCAGCAGGGTCACTGCATGTTTGGCTTCGGTTGACCCAGTTGATCGCAACCCATGTTCGAGCATCTGTGGTATGTCGACCGGGGAGGGGCAGGCATGTAGGTCAAGGGAGGCCCAACCCAGGCAAAAAATGAACACGAAGACAAGTGATGAGGTTATTGTAGCAACGGAGATGCCCGAGATCGTCGAACGGATGCTGACCCAGCCTCTGAGGCTGCTGATGACGGCAACGGTGGTGAGGACCAGGATTATAATGCTGGTGCGAGACGACAGTGACGACAAGGATTTGGAGGATGAGAATAAGAGGCTGAGGACGACAAGGCGGAGAAAGAAGAACAGGAAGAGAAGGAGGAGGAGGAGGATGAGGAGGAGGATAGATTCAAACAGCTGTGAGCTTCAGAATGATGAGATCTGATTCGATGACGATACTGCTGTTGACGCTGCTGTTGATGGTGATCGTGATGATGGTGATGATGCTGCTGGTGGCGGCTCTGATGACGAAGCTCGGGTCTTGGAGGGCTCCGGAGGTCCTGTCCAGACACCCCCGCAACCTGAATTTTGAAGCTTAGGATTGCATCTACAGCTCCACATTCGAATCTCATAAGCGTGGACCGCAAGCCGCAAAATGCAAATTCGAAGACCTGTCGGCAGAACCCAAACTGCAGCTGCTGGGATGCGCTCCTGTTTAGGAGTGGCCGGAGCACTTTCACCAGCGAGGAACTTTTCCTCGGCTTGGACATTCGAAAGGCAACACCTTGTTACGCCATGAGACTGGTCTAGACTAGGACTGACCATGTGTGTGGGCAAGAGGGCCATTCTGCTGATCCGCTTCCTGCTCCTGCTCGTCGGCAGTGTCTTTCCCACTTTCTGTCGCTTACTGTTCTTCTGTGTCAAATTGGTGTTGGTCCTGGGGAAACCTCGAGATGATGGCCTAAAGCGGCAATGCTCATACAATGCAGAAAGGCCGTGGCTCAGCCGCTCGGACATCAAACGTACCGAGTCAGGAATGGATCGGCCCAGAAGGAACTGCACCATGTGGTTGCTCCTTGGTGTCGGACTTTGCCGGTTCAGATGGCAGACTAGCTACACAAGACCCTAGAAGGGTCAGGACAATTCAGAAAGCCACCTGGGCCAAACACACTACTGCCAACTTCGGACCCGATGCTCGTTAGTTGGTTGATATCAAAGTGAGGCAGGTCATAACAGGCGCGTAGGGCGTAGGGGCTGGTGCCGAAGATAGCTGGGGCTCAGGTCGTTGCAGTTGTGGTCGAAAGCATCGTACAGATCAGGGCGGTAGTCGAAGTAGACCCTTTTGATCTCGGCATTCAACTCCTGAAATACTTGGCAAGAAGATGGTAGTGGGGTCGCTTCGTGCAAACACATGGCATGGCCACCCTTTTCGACTACAACATCCATTGACTCTCTCCCTCTCCTCGACCGTACGCAGCGTGTAACCAAGTTGGACGCTCTTCCCGGGGTGCCCGAAAGCGCTCTGGCCAGGGTGGCAAGTGAGGATGTAGCCGAAAAAGTAGAGCTCCTGCCACGGGCCGCAACTACCGGGTTGGAAACTCTGCCATGCTTCGATGAAAACTCCTCCTCTCGAGCGTCCGTCCTGTTGATCACGAGCCAACCTCAACAGGCCTCACACTGCCTCACACCTTAATGCAGGGGCCTTAATAATTAGAATAGGGTTTTGGGCCTTTTTTTGTAGTTAGAGTATAATGACCCGATGATTCTAATTATTATGGCCCCTACACGCCCTACATTCTCTGAGTAAAGCGCAAGATGCCCTCAACCTTTGAAGGTCCTGCCCGAAGACGCCTACGCTGGTGTGCCAAATGCCATCCTCATACTGGCCAAGCAGGATGGGCGACAGAACTGAAGCAAAGCTCTTGGAGAGGTCGTAGTAATACAACTCCACCGGTCTGAAAGTCAAGCGCAGCACGTTTGCCACGAACTCAGCATATGTGATGCTGTCACTTCCTGTGGAGTTCATTACATCCAGTAGCTCAGCATCGCCACAAGGATTGATCGACAGCATCTGCCGCGTGACGATGCCTGGCTCTCAATGACCTCTCACATCTAACACCTAAGCACCGAAATATCCTAAACCAAAAGAGGGACCATATGACACGAGGTGCCGCAGACCATCTCATCAGCCGATAGCCATGTATAGACAAGGGTAGAAACGATGTCCGGGGTGTCCGAATCTCGGAGTTTCTGCGTGATAATTTCAGTGGCCACGGGGCCTGGTGGATGCATGTCAAGCAGCGCAGTGTGCAGCCACTCGTGTTTGTTGATCTTGCCATCCTGCTCTACATCCATGATGGCGAAAGCTCGCTGAACACTTCCCCCGATCAGCTCCTTTTCGGAGTCGCTAAGCGGACGCTTGCACACCTCTGTAGCAGCAGAAAGCCAATGAGAAGCAAGCTCGTCCATTGTAATGGCACCCGAGCCATCCGCGTCCAGCTCGCTGAACTTGGAGAGGATGTTCGTGAGCACTGAGTTAAGTGCTACTTGGTCACTGCTTAAGAAAACTTCCAAGCTGGATTCGGAGCTCTTGGGAAGGGTCAGGGGCAGTCGGTCATCTTCGAGAGCGGAGTCCCTGTTCAGTGTGATGCGCAGCTGGCCCTCCTCTTCTTCGGAGTTTTGGGGCAGCTTCAGGAACAGCTCATCGTCATCGTCTTCCTGCCCATCCTCGTCCATGGCCCACAAATTCTGCAAAGAGTCCCTCAAGACGAACGCTTGGAGTTGGAAGTAGAGCTTTGTATATACAGTCACTTTCTCGTAAGTGGAACATTTGGCAAAATGCTTTCGACATATGTCCTAGCAGTCATATCGGCATGACGAGCAGAACCGGGGGCCACAACCTCTATTTAAGCCATCTGCCGCAAACAGAAGTTCTGCAATCTCACGAGCAGAAAGAACCTCAAGCTGCCTTGTGCCGTGAACCGAATCGCTGTCAATCACTGAACTCACGAGCTCCGAAAGCATGATCGGAAGCTGAACGATGTTTCTGGGATTCTGGGCTCGTACTATGCTGCCGTGTACGATCCCTCCCGACCTGTGGTGCGGGACACCAGGGACGTGCCGGCACGTGCAAACACGGCGCGGGGCATAGGCCTTGGAGGCTTCGGGATCTACGATTCTGAGATATAGGGGATGCCATGAGAGTGGCTCCGGACGGAATATCAATCATACTCTTATAAAGAGAAGTGCACAAGGGTTTTGGACGGAGGAGGGTCGTGCTTGCAACTTCCGGCGGGTTTCTGCCGGCCTCACCAGGCGCGGAGGGGCGGAAACTGCCGATTTTCTGAAATGCAAGCCAACTTCGGGACTCGGGGCATGCTTTTTGCATGTGCATGGCAGTTCAGACATCTGCCAAGCAGGGCGATCAGATGTCTTCTCCTAGCAACAGCCAAGAGCAGCAGAATCGCAACTATATGGCATATTCTTTTCTTAGTGGTGGAGCCGGGATCGGAGCTTTCTAAGTTCTAGCAAGCAGTCAAATTGCAACTATGGTCAGCGATATCAACTTTCCTATCAAAATCAGAATAATGCTGACCTGTCGAGCTGGGGTGGCTGGGCCGGGCTCCCAGCACAGTGGGCACAGAGTGCTGTGCACAGTCCAGCTGCGTGCCTAGTCCATCGAGGGTTCCGGGGCGGGGAGCGGCACCAAAAGTTTCGTGCAAGTATAGGGATTGAACAGGAATCCGACCCATACTGCAGCAGACGGCAAAGGGCCTTCAATAGCCAGAAACCGCGGTGCAATGTAAGAAGTTGGCTCGCCCTCAGAACCCACTGATTTCATGCAAGTGGCTCATCAATGGACTGCTGCGGCATTGCTTCCGGCTCTCTGCAAGGCGGCTCAGGTACCTGTGGAGTTGGGATTTCGAGGTCTCCTGGAGAAGTTCTGGCCAAGGCTACTGCCTAGGGTGGAGATCTCGGCAGATCGGGCCTGACTGGACCTGAAGAGTTTTTGCGGATACGCGTTAGGTGCAGAAGGAACTATGTGGACTGCTGCAGCACCTTCAAGCCTGGAAGAAATTCCAGAGCAAACGCTGCTAAGTACTCCCATAGTCATATGCCACAGCTGGCTACAGCACCAGAGCAGACGCAGGAGTAGAATCTTAGAAGGTCGTCGGGGTCCGATCCAGATGTCGGCCCTAAGTTGCAACACCCCCGGTAAGCCGTGAAGTCCAAATCTGGACCTGCAGCCGTGGGTGCTGTGGAGGCGCACTCGGCTTTCGACCTGCAAACTCCCTTCCCCCCAATGCGTCTGCCACGCATGTTTCATGAACATGAATGCCCTGTATCCAGCTTCCACCTTGGCCTCCTCTGTTCTCACACACTTTCAAGTTGACAGCTCAACATGTAGTCAGTTGTGCATCGGCAAGCCTATCCATGCTTCATTGTTCAACTACAAAGTCGGTACCTCTATGGAAACACCGAGTACTCATCTTCTTGTTGCAGACTGATCTGCCATGATATGTCAGGAATCCTCAGTATGCAAGAACGGCAAGAAAGTGGGTCTGCCAACACTTCGTACCTCGAACCTCCATTGACGTCACTCCTCTATGCCGGATCATATGTTGCACTCCTCATTTCTGTTTGAACCGACCCGCCGACATCGCACCGATTCGCGACACACTACTAAGTTCCTGAGCCAGCCACAGGATCGCTGGCGGCGCCATGGTGCAAACCGAGATCCGAAGTCCCCTAAAACTCCTACGACCTACGGCTCAAGCTTTCAACCCAGGCTACCAACGAACAGAAACTGAAACCTTTCCCTGGCAGAAACCGCATGGAACAAGACCAGAAGCACATACGAAACAGTGTGCCTTCAGGAATGTCGGCTTGCCATCTCTGGCTTCTGAAGGATGCTGCTTGCAGATGCCCTGACACCCACATCTCATCACAACCTGCTTGGGCCCGAAAGCGCGGCAATGTTCCCACAACTGCGAGACCGCATGGCAAAAGCCCACTCTGCATGAGATTCGGTGCAGCAGAGGCACGTCACAGCAAGACGAAACTTAGCTGCTAATCCGGAACCCCTGAAGGACATGGGTCGACAAAAGCTCAGCTCAAGCATACTCACGCAGTGCATCACATGTGACTATTTCTGCTTTTATGGTCATTACGGTTTGGATGATCGTTTCTTTCTTGTCCTTCTTGGTGAACCACAACATCTAATCTACTGCTCCTCGGCTATGGCAACTGCTGCTGCCTTTCATGCTGCTTTTTCGCCTCTCCGTAGCTCTCGGCAGAAAGGGTCATCCTCCCTGCGCACACCACGGCAAAAAGACGATTGAGCATCGCTGGTTGGCGGTGCGTTTCAGCAAGATGCCATATATGAGAAAGCTCCACGGCATGCTTTACGGCAATTAACCATACGAAGATACCGGCAATCTATTTCTATTTCGACGTCATCATACCATGACCACGAGAAGCAAGACTGATTTCCTTCACAATCGTCATCATCATCTATGACGAAGAGAGCTTAGACAAAGAGCGGCAACGATGGCAATCAGCTCAATGCAGTAGGCAACTACAAGACTGAACACTAGCAGCGGCAGCAGTCGCTGTAGTGCTCGTGGCCATCGTCGTCGTCGCAGAAAAGTGTAGGTAGCGTGCAGAAGGTAGATAACAGAATGATGTAGGCCCTAAGTTTGTCAGAACAGCATTGTCGTCGCAGCAAAGTAATGCACTGGCACGACCACTAAGCACTACAGTAGTAGTAGTAGTAGTAGTAGTAGTAGTAGTAGTAGTAGTACTAGTAGTAGTAGTAGTAGTAGTAGCAGTAGTAATAGAAGTAGTAGAAGTAGTAGAAGTAGTAGAAGTAGTAGTAGTAGTAGTAGTAGTAGTAGTAGTAGTAGTTGGAGTAGGCGTAGGCGTAGGCGTAGGCGTAGGCGTAAGCTTAGGAGTAGGAGTAGTAGCAGTAGCAGCAGCAGTAGTAGAGTAAGTAGTAAGTCTCAGTGGTCAGTATTGAGTGTAAGTAGGAAGCATCAGACTTACTAGTAGCAGTAGTAGTATTCGTCGCTGTTGTAACAACGGGGATAGTAAGGGAAGTAGCCGTGGCACTGGGAGTGGTAGTGGGTGGATACTGGTGGTGCTGCTGCTGGTTGCAATGATATTGGTGGTAGGAGAAGTCGTAGAAGCAAGAATAAGGAAGAGACAATAACCAGGCCTCAGAACAAGGGATGATGTTCGGACATGCTACACATGTAGTGTAGGAATAGCAGAATCACTTATGATGCAGAGTGTCCGCATTTCAAGTGCCATTGTAACAAGAACGGTGGCTAGTGTCAGGATTGAACAGGATGGTGGAGCCTGCCCTCAGCAACTTCCGAAAGCTTTGGGAGATGCACTGTACAAGGATCTTCCAGGGCAAGAAGACAGATTTCTCGAGCGCACGCAGAAAATTTCGAGGAGACTACCCGTGGCCGACCTGTCTCGACTGGGCTCTGTTGCGTCATGGACCTACCTTCCCTCCTTATAAGGCCAGGGATAGAGATTTCTTGCGGTGTCCGTCGCACGGCGCGAAGGTGCCTCCCACAGATTTGTCAAAAGTCTGAAGCTGTTGGCTGCCAGCTGCCTTCATGCAGCTTTCATGCTAGTGAGTGGTCCTCATGGTCAAGGTCCCCCAGAGCGGTCTATACTTGCGGCAGCGGGCTCTTCGAGGTTCAGGAGGATTTGAAGATTTTCGGTTCGGGCTAGGGTGGTCAGGCTGAGTAGCTTCGACGGTATGGGCTCCAAAGGGTTCCAAGGGTGCCTGGGCCTCTCTCGGGGAACACTGAATCTGAGGAGCGCCCTCATGTCAGTGTCAGCACTTATGGCGGGAAGACCAGGACATCGGCCTTGTCTCGGAATACCTCCTAACCCCCAAGCATCTGCAAGACTTATATCCGAACTCTGCAAAGATTCAGGTGCTTCGGCTGTGCCGGGTGTAACTAAAGGAAGATCTTTACGAAGGTCGGAGTTATCGCCCATGTACCCGGCATGAAGGCGCCCAAGTGTCTGGTCCGGACTGGCTGCCGCTCTTTCTCTCTCGCTCTCTCTCTCCCCGGCTCTCGACAACTGGATAGGCCAATGAATAGTAGATAATGAGAATCGGGGTTCGATGATGCGGAGTCCTAAAGGCCTACAGTTTATATAGTGTGTGCAGTTGCAAAACATCGTATGAGTCCGGATCATAAGGCAGAAACTATGTGCACAAAGGCAAGACGACTGATCTTCCCCAGCTTCAATGTGCCACAGCTGAGTCTGCCAACTGTTGGCAAACGATGCGGACCTTTCTCAATCACTCAGAACCCCAACATGGTTCAGGCACTGCCGTCCAGTTCAGATCAACAACACAACATGCTTGAATCATTGTCTGAGGGATCCCTGTCTGATTGAGCATAAGTTCAAGCACGGACAAATTTCAGTGCTGTTATGCTTGCTCTGCGCAGTCGGGTCTTCACTGCGTCTGACAGCAGCATTTCAGCAAGGCTACAGGGTCCACGGTCGGTTTTACACATGTTCTCGTTCAGCATGCCGTACTACGTACTACGACACCTTTGCCTGTTGATGTGGGTTCCTACTCATGAGAGCCTTGCTGCTACACGTGCAGCAGCTGGATTTCAAGCATCAACATTCCAGGAGCCTAGCTGTTGCCCTTGTCATTGCAAGCTTGGTAGTTCGGTTTTGCATCCTTGACTGGGCACCAGGCTGCCAGTCCTCACCAACTGGTATTGACAGCTCGCAAAGCCTTTCGTACTAGGCTTGCAGCGGGGACACGCCAGGTCCCCAGGCCAAGCCCGTGCCCTGAATCCACAATGAATCAAGCTTCGACCATAACGCTTCAAGACTAGCAGAGTTGGCTTGGCAAAGGACCTCCTGATCGCTCGCTGGCTCACCAAGCGTCTTCCTGCCAGGAAGTTGAACGCCGTTGTTAGTGTTGGTGTTAGCGTTAGTGCTAGTGTTAGTGGCAGAAGCTGCTGGACGGCGTTTGGTCATCGAGTGTTTGTTCTTTTGTGTCCCGGAACCCAGGTCAACCAATACCAAAACAAAATTGCCTGTCAACAAATGCACCCAAGTGTCAAAGGAACTGCCGGGAAATTACAACTAGCTTCAAGCCGCTGTCAGCGATACCCCTTCATGCGACATCACCTGACAGCAAGATGTCAAACGGGATCGGTGCACCAGCCCGCTGTTGCCGAAAGCGTCTGGTGCTCGAGGCATAGGAAGTTCCTGTCACAAGAAGCATGTCTTCATATTTTGCGGCTCAGAATTTGGCATGTTCTACGGGGAAGTAGCAGGGGTCATATCTGCAGCTGTCAGCACTGTTGGACGAAGCTATCACTTGCGAGGTCGACGTGCTGCACATCACCGTCCGTGCGCAGATGATCAAAGTTAAAGCAATCACCATTGCTGGCGGTAGCAGTTGCAGTAGCAGAAAAAGAAGTGTGGCAGTGGTAGTGGTAGTGGCAGTAGCAGTGGTAGTAGCAATAGCAGTAGCAGTAG